TGTTGCAGATATCACCCGCCTCCATTTATCTCTCTTGTTGGCCTTCTCTTTTCAGTTGGTGACACCAGGTGTTTGTAGGTCTGTCTGGACATTATCTCTTCCTCTTCTTCTTGGTCTACCTCGTGGGCTACGAACATTCATCTCCCTCGTGTATACAGTTTTTACTTCTCTGTTATCTAGCACTCTTCCAATTTGCCCCAAACATTTCTGTCTATTAGCTCTCATGATACCAGTGATCAGTGGGGATTTAAACAGATTATGAATATCGTTTTTGCTTCTCACTCTCCATTCTCCTACAGCACACTCTTGTTTCAATTTCCTTTTAATTTTCTCCATGGCCAAGTTGAAAAGAAGGCGCGACAGAGAATCACCTTGCTTTAAAATATATGTTATTTGAAAAGGGTTTGATTTTCTGCCTTTTTATACAACCATATTACTAGTGTCTTCCATACATAGTTTGGTCTGATAATTAACTTTTTTGGTATTCCAAAGTCCTTTATAGCAAGCATTCCATAAACTGTTTTTATGTACACTATCATACACTTTTTAGAAATCCACAAAAACATTGTGTACATCTCCTCTATATTCCCAGTTCTGCTCTGCTATTTGTCGTAAAATGAATATCTGATCTATCGCTGATCTGTTCTGTCAGAAACCTGCTTGGTAATCTCCCAATATGTCTTCGACGCATGGTTTTAGCCTGTTTAGCAGCACCGCCGATAGTATCTTATAGCTTGTAGATAATAGTAATATTCCTCTGTAATTTTTACATTTATTTTTGTCTCCTTTCTCAAAAAATTGTATTAATAAAGACACGTTCTATTCATGGAGTAATTTCCCCCATCTTCCAAACTAGTTTTATTAATTCATATATCTTTAAATGGAATGCATGACCACCTTCTTTTATACGTTCAGCAGCAATTCCATCAGCACCAGCTGCTTTGTTTTTTGTTTTTAGGCCGTGTTATGAGTCATCATCATCATCATAAACCACTTCTGCCATTAAGCGCCCGGGGGGGGGGGGGGAGGGGGTGGGAGGAATAATTTGCGATTCAGTGCACGTTGGCTGCCACTGGCTATTGTCATGCCGTGAAGGCGTAGAGTCTTTAATGTTGTCGATCCTTATTTCCGCGGCCGTCCTCTTGCTCGTGTAGCTGATCTTTTGAGATGTAATAACTGTGATGGTATTTGATCTTGCTGCATTCTAACGAGATGACCAAACCAGTTGATCTGCTGTTTCTCGTTGAATCTAGTACAAGGTGTTGTTTCCACAATTTGCCTGATAGCTTCATTATGCACTTGATCTCGGATGGTTAGATTGGCTGCTTTTCTCAGGCACCTTATCTCGCAGGTGGTGATTTTGCTTATATGGTCTTTAGATAGTGCCTATGTTTGGCACTGTAGCCTAATGTTGGAATGAATATGCTGTTAATAATCTGTCTCTTTGCGTTCATAGTTATGCTTGGATGTCCTTATAATGGTGACAATTGGTATATAAGTGCACTTTCTTTGTGACATCTGGTTTTTCTTTCTCTGTCAATTCTACCATCTACTCTGATCATACTTTCCAGATATTTAATCTTCCTAACTTGATTCAGAGCAGAACCATTTAACTGTATGTTAGTGGGGCAGGGGTTCTACTAAGCTGCATTGTTTCGGTTTTGTTTGCATTGATCTTCATGTTGTATTTACTGCATGCTTTTAACTTGTTAATGTGGTCTTGTAGTCTTATCTTCTTCAGGGTAGAACAAGCAGTGGTCGTCAGCAATCATGATTATAAAGGTCTATGTTGTCTGTATCAGAACTTCCTTCTTTAGATATTCTGTATATATAAATGTTAAATTAATGTGGAGAGAGCTCACATCCCTGTCTCACATCTGTGTTGACTGTGAACATATCTGATATGCCTTCTTGTGTTCTTATTGCACTTTGGCTTGTGTGATACATGGCTATGATGTTCTCTAGTAACTGTCCTTGTACCCCGTAGTTCTCAAGAAAAGACGACAGTTTGTTCCTATCCCCTCCATCAAAAGTCTTTTCCGGATCTACAAACACACTATTCTGTTCCGTATTATACTCAATGGCTTTCTCACAAATTTGCCTCAGAGTGAATAATGCATCTGTGCATCCTCTGCCTTTTTTTTTAAAAACCGAATTGTGATGCACTAAACTGTTTGTTGTTCAGCTATGTGTCTAACTCTCTGTTCTAGTAATTTGGAGTACATTTTTCTTATGTGACTCAGTAGTGATATACCTATGTATGCTTCACATTCTCTCCTAATGCTATGCAGTTAACACAGTCCTCCTGTCGAACAATGTAAAGTGAACATAACATTTAATAATGTTTGTCCAAAAACGTGAAGATCAAAACCTATTCTTGAATTTAAAGAAAACAAAAATAATGTTCACTTACAAAATTGACTGTCATCCAAAAAGAAAAAGAAATGATAAAAAAATCGAAAATGTCACAAACTTTGAATATCTAGGTTCTACAATAAAAAGCAAAGGAGACTATTGGACAGAAATTAAAAGGAAAATGGCAATAACGATGCAAAGATTAAACAGCGTAACAGTCTATGGCTAAGCACCGGAAAGAAAATTGAAGTTAAAATATTTTAGACTAAGCACCGAGAAAAAAATTGAAGTTAAAATTTTTCAGAGCATGCATCTTTACTGGAGCAACATACGGATGTGAGGGGTGGGCTGTCTCCCAGTCCTTTAAGAAAGAAAACAAGGGATTTTGAGCTGAAATTTTGTAGATTCTCAGAACATCATGGACAAAGACGATAAGAAATACTTACATTTTAAAAGGTCCGAACATCAAGGAAGACTGGTTACTAAACAGCATCTTGTCTGGGAAACTGCAATATGTAGGTCATATCAAGCGGCGTGATGGATTGAGAAACAAATAATAGCAGAAGGCATGGTACCTGGAAGAAAGGGTAGGGCCGACAAACACAAAGATGGACACATGGTATAAGTGACTACTCAAATATGAAAGTGCACGAGCTGGCGAGAGACATTGTTTCTATAAGGCCGACCGTGATGGGAGCGACGTTCTGCAAAGGACTTGATATATGATGATAAGGTTCAACAGAGTTTCTGAGTTGTTCTCAAGAATTCTCATCCGAACAGTATCTGTTTGAGTCACTGGGTATTAGCATTCGGGAGTGCAGTCCTAGAGGAAAAATAAAAACAATAAAAACAATTCATCGTCTCCCCACAGACCCTCTGTATTTGCTTGTTTCTGTTTCCATTAAATGCTGTTTACAATGTTCCAGCATGTGATAATATGGAGAGGAGAGGAGTGTCCAAGCAAGAATCAGGCTTGTTTAGGGTTCTGATCACTTTATGTGGTGATTGCAGAGACTGGCCAGCTGGTGCTGCAGAATCAAAAAGTTCAACAAAGGATTGATGGCAATTCCCGCCCAGGTGATGTGATTGTCTGTACAGATGGCTCTGTGTTGGGAGGTAGACACAATGAATGGGAGTTCATAGCAAAGGTTAATGGATGGCGCTTAGTGCAGCAAAGCCTGGCATATATCACAACGTCTAGTTTGAGAATAGATGTAGAGACAGTCACTGCTGCCTTCCGCTGAATTGAGAATCAACTGTACAGTTTCGTAATTGTTGCTGACTCACAGGTTATGTTGAGAAAGGTGGAGACTGGCATTCTCAGTGCAGAGTGGCAAGCCTCGCTTCAGAGATCCCTGGTAGTTAGCGTCCTTCAGATATTTTCTCCAGATCATGCTAGTGTGTTGGGAAACAAGGAGGCAGTTATACTAGCTGGTTCTGCACCACTTGGTGATGAATTGATGTATAACAGGCTAGATACTGCGAGGGCCCTTTAGGAGCGAGTGAACAGGGAGGAGGCACAAATGGATCCTTACGGTCTGAGAAGATTGGCGCTGCTGGAAGTTACTAGGGGATCTTGCCGCCGCTCAACACTTAAGGAAAAGGTAAGACGAATCTACAGACAGTTACTGGTACAATCGAAATTTGAACTTTTCGCTTGCTGCTGAAGATGAGGACGGAGTGCATATGAGTGTCCCGAGTGCTGTTTCCATTAAATATGCCAGTACGCAGCTTAACCTGCGCGACCAAGTGCCATTTTGGATTATCAAGACTGTAGACCTTCATATAATTATTATACTCATAAAAAATGTGAATTTTAGAAGACTGAATTGGTAAAAAAGAAATACAGGAAACGTTTGTAAAAAGAAAACACTCCACCTTCAAACACATTCAACCAAATATGCAAGTGTTAAAAAAAAATAAAAATAAACCAACACTCGCAGAAATAATGAAATACCTGGCAGCGATGTTTTGAACTGCAGCGAAAAAGGTGGCTACTTGATGCTTGCAATTTCTGCCGTTCCCCAAACATGATCTGTTTGTTATTTATTTCAGATGTGCTCACGAACTTATGGGATCATTTGCATTTGTTTACATTAGCGGTTGACCAGAATTAATTATTGCACTGGTCTAGCTTCTCAGTCGGACAGTTTGAATTCAGAGTTTCTGTTTACAATACAAAAGTAAAAGACTGAAAAACTTCGGCTCTCACTTCGAAAACGTCTTCTTTGGATGGCAATTGTTTAAATTTTGACTATCCTAAACAATTAACATCACTATCGACTGTAGAGTTCATGCAGAAAGATGTTTTCATATAGTTTATGTTATAATATGAATATAACGGAACAGTTTTCAGTGCTTTCAAATATATCATCATTTCTTATCTTACTTTAAATTAAAGTTTAATAGTTTAATTGGGTTTCTTGAACATGAAGATAGACCAGCGGAAACCTACCTACGGATTAAATGTGCACCTTACACTGCAGACGCTATTTACTTACTTATTAAAATCAAGTGCCGCCTGAGCGTATATTTTGATGACTGTTTATTCTGCAGTTTGTCACTTACATATGTGATGATTTGCTTTGAGACACTTACCTAAATAAAAAGCAGAACTGACAAGTGCTTTGATAATAATATATATCATGTCACAATCACCTAGAAATTCTTATCAACGAAATGTCAGTGGTGAGAATATAGTTCTGGTATCAAGCTCTTCATCAGAAGATGAAAATGAAGATATCAGTTTGTTGCATTTTCGCCATAGTTTATCTACAGACAGACGTACCATACGGGAGCTTGTTCTGGAGGGTAAAAGACTTCTGGCCCTTGCAGAAGCAAAATCTTGTCCAGAAGATTTCAGAACTGATGCATCCACGTTATATAGATACAACTTTTCATCAGCTGTGACTGGCAATGATTTGTTTAGAGAGAGAGAACTAGCAGAACTACTTGATTTGGTTTCACTTTTGAAAATGCGCCTCAGTGCAGAACGAGTGTTTTCTCTTGGAAATCCACAGCTTCGTTCTGAGCAAGCTGTGTTTGATGAATTGTTGATGCATTTTTCTGATGAACTTCTCGATTTAGGACAGAGCATTCGTTCTGTTGGCACTAGAGATGAATCTACTTCAGCTAATGCAGGTTTCCAGTCATCTACAGATCCTGGGAGCTCAAGGTTGATTGTGAATATTGATAGTGAAATAAATAATTCAACTGCTACCCAGATTGAAAATTCATTCACACAGCATTTTAGTATTCAAAATGCTTCAGCAACAGACCCTTTAAATGCAACTGTAGGAGAAACACAGAATGGGCTAGTTTCAGTTGGGCTGCATGAAAATATTTCTACTAATTCATCACGCGCTGAGGGTCAGTTACTGCAGGATATAAATATCTCCAGCCTTGAAGATTTTCTAGCAAAAGTTAGGGAACTCAGTTCGCTTGCAAGTCTCACTCAGACAGTTTCTAACAGCGTCAGTACCTCGGTACCATATAACATTTTCCTGGAAATTCAAAGATCTCTTTCTTCAATTATGGGAACAACATCCACACAGACGAATCAGGTATGCCATAATAATGACAAAGAAGCATATATCTGTTTTAAATATGTTGTTGTTTGTTTAAGTTAGTGCTCTCTAACAGGGGGGAGGGAGGGGCGCTCCACCCCTCTCCTCTAGGTAGGCCTAAGGAAGTTTAAGGAGAGGGAGCAGGTAATTCTGAAAGCCAGTGCATTTATACTTGTAGTAATAATCCATTATACTAAAAAAATTTTTATAGTTTCATTAACTCTTTCAGTCCCATGGGGCTTTGCATCCGAGGCCTAATGAGTAATACACAGAAATCTAAAGTTGGCACATCCTGCATTCTTTGGGCTTCTGTGTAGGAACTTATGAACGTATGATGTGTTCCTTAGGACTGAAAGAGTAAGGAATCAAATATTTAATTAAATAAAATTAGGACGTTTTTGTTTGTTTGAGCAGTTTGCACATCAGCCTTTAAAAATGTAATTTATATGATAATACATTAATTATAGATTAAGAACACATTGTGACCAGAATGTACCTCCATACTTGTTTTTAGAGCATCTATCACTGGCTATATGGAGAATGAGAAGATTCCATGAAATTCCTAATCTATTAAAATCATCACTACTGGCATTATGAGGACTAAAAGACACAATATTTGGGGCATATCAAGAGCATGACAGATAACAGAAAGAAGAAGACACCAGATTCATAGGATATACAAAAATTATCAACTTTATAATTGGTCCAGTCAAACAGTTAATTGTGGTTGCTTGGCAGGACCATACCAAATAATTTCACATGGCATATAAGGCCTACTGACCACCAAAGGGGGAGAGATCTGATCAGACAGTCAATAGAAACTGGTGACCCAACGACACGCAGTGTTACCAGATGATGATGATATAAGGCCTATGTGCTGCATGTTTTCCACCTCTGTCGAGTTATAGACAAGCATTTTTCTCTAAAATTATTGTTAAATTCAAATTCTGGCTACCATCATCTTGGAGGGCTGTGTCCATGGTTTAGGTGTTGCGAGTCTGACTTGTAATTCCAACGTACCACGATCGAAACCCACTGCTGACTGCGTGGATTTTTATCATGGTATGGGGTGTCGCAGGTCGACCAGCCTAACATGGGTACCAGGATGTATGTCCTGGGGAAGTAAAGATGGCCGGTGTAATGCTGACCACATTACCCACCTTGTGCCTTATGATCTTTAAAAATATGGATGCTCTTCCCATATGCCTGATGCACCTAAGGTGTGAAAAGAGATCTTTACTACTTTACTTTTTATCATCTTGGGGAGGGGAGTCTCCATAATGCCATTTATTTACCTAGTGATCAGAACATTGAGGGTTCACTGTACTACTCAGTCATGTAAGCAGTGCCTCAAATCCTTAGAGGTCATTGATTCAACTACAAAGCTAATGCTTTGAAGGAAGCTCACGTTGTTGAGTTGAGTCAAGAATTGACACCACAGCACTCGGGGCATTCCCGTGCGGGTTCTGTCCTCATCTTTAGCAGCTAGTGCAGAGTTCCAGTACTAATGGTACTGGTCACAATCTGGTAATATGTCCGTCTTGCCTTTCCTTTGAGTGTAGTGAGCTGGCCAGACCCTTTGGTTACAACTAGGTGCCTCATTCTATCCAGGCCATAATAATATTGTTTCTCTACTAATTTCATTGCTTATTTCATCCGTCCACCTGTTCATTACCCACTATGTGGGCATGGCCTGGAGAAAATATCCTAATTATGCTCACTACCCGTGACCTTCTCATGGAAGTTTGCCACTCTAAGCTCACATTATATGTGCAGGTACAGTGGGGATAAATCCTGAGCCATATATGATAAAACATTGTGTATGAAGGTGATTCTCTCACCTATAAATATTTTTTTTTCTGAACATCGTGGGTAATTGCTGAGACATTTGCAGTCTTACGATATGATGGGAACTGAGCTAAAGAGTTTGTGCTTTCTTTTGCAAAGCTTGAAGCGGGTGACTAGCCACTGTGTGGAGTAAGATTGAGCCATATGTAATTACCCCTGGTGCACCGAAGTTGACCCTTAAACAATCCAGGGCCCCTGTTTTTGAAAGGGTGGGTAAAAATGCCCCCACCCCTACACCCACCATCTTCCTAACAAGCATGTTGTAACAGATGACTAATTTAGGGTTGCAAAAAATTGGATGTGTTGAGTGAAAAACTTAGCTGTAAGTCACCAAAAAAATCTGCCCACTGTCTTTTAAAGGGAAATTGCAGAAACACAGAAAGAAAAAAAACCTTTTAATCTGAACCTCACAGGAACTTGCAGCATATGCATTTGGTAATTCTTGTCACACTTTATTACAGCAGAAATGATCGACAATATTTCTTCCTGGGCCAAACTAGTCTCAGATCTGATTCCAAGGTGTTTTAGAGGGGACAAAAGGAATGGTTTGTCATTGTTTATTTGGCAGTCATGGGCAGGCAGCTGTGTATTCCAGTGAATTTCAGGCCTCCATTTAGGCTGTTGGAAACTGGGGTGGATAGACCCACTGCCTTCTTAACATGCATGTCGTAAATGATGACTGATTAATGTTTTGTGGAAATCGGATGTATTGGGCTGTAAATGCAGCTATCACAGCCATGCTGTACACCGCAACACAATGTACCAACTGTCCTTTTAACTCTTTTGCCCCACTGGAATCATTAAATACTTACCTTTTTGTTTCTAAATAAAAAAAATAATAATTCTCTACAACTTTCCTAGAAAAAAAATTTGAGGAGGAAAAGTAAAAGGAGGAGGGGTACTTATCACGAGGATGTTATGAGATAGTTTCATTTGATGTTCGCTTGCCATATATAATGTTTGTGGGAGGTTGTGTTGTTGGGAGTCTCTTTATTAGGCGCCACAGGCATCTGTGTACATGTAAGAAGTACTGCAGGGGGAAGCAGTGAAGGCGCGACTGTTCATAAGTGTCATAACTGGGATGTTTTTATGTTTCTACGGTCTTTGCCCCCCCCCCCCCCCCCCCTTTCCTGAAAAAAGCCACTGACAAGGAACATAGGAATACAATAACATGCCAATTCTGATGCTCACGAATCATCGGGCAAGTAGCACATTGTGGAAATAATCATGCAGGTGGGCAGTGACAACACCAGAAAAGAGAGAACGGTTGAACTGTTTAAAATAAGGAATACATGACATCTCCACAACACAGGACAAGCTGTGGGACCAGCCATGGCATGTATGGGAGGGGAAGGAACTCTTGTTATGCGAGCAAAGTTGTGATGAGTACCAAGAGGAGAAATGTGGAGTCTTGGTCAGTTTGAAACAAAAATGCAGAGGATGGAAACCTGTGACCACTGAACAAACAAGCTAGCATGATGACCACTGCGATTCGCTTAGTCAGATTTACTAAAATAATTCATATTAATTTTTGTTAATTTACTTTCATGAGTTAGGAAAATAATAAGTAAATACAGATGAAGCAAAGAAATAACTGCTTTCTATCCATTTGACTTTGATAAATGTGGTTTTGTTAACTTAGGCATGTTTAGCAAATTGACCTCAGAATGAGATAATTCTAATGTAACTATGAAGTCACAGTTTAAAAAAAAATGCCATTTCTTTGTTCCAAATGTTATTGTTTTTGGGTAAATATATATAATCATACCTACCTCTTATACACACTGTTGTTGCAAACTGTACCAAGGCTGTTATAGAGATGTGTTGGCCACTGCCAAAAGACTTTGTTTCATCAAAACACCATACATGTTATTTTGCTCTTTTGTGTGACACTTTACCATTTGCCTGATTTATGTGAAACTCTTCAGCAAAATTTTACTGTTAAATCTGAAGTGTTTCAACATATTTTTTATGTTTAATCTGGAGCAATTCAGCACTGTGCTATTTGATATTAACTGCATTAACATTTGACTGTTCTGTATAAAACCCTTTTGCATTTTGCTATTTTTTGTTTCAACATTTTGCTGTTTTGTTTAAAAAAACCTAAACTTGGTTGCTGTTTTATGTGAATTTAGCAGAATCTGTTTTTGTGTGTTTATCTGTTTAGAAATTTTACTTAGAATTACTTACATTCTGTTTTCTCTCGCTCTCTCTCTCTCTTTAAAGTCATCACTTAGGCAGGTGAAAAGGAAGCGGAGTGAGGAGGACAACTGTGAGGTCGCTAAGAAATCCAAAGCAAAGAATGAGGATAGCAGAGTTGATGATGAGGACAAAGAGGAAGATGTAAGTTATAGAAAGATGTAATTATAATTTATAACAAAGCATTTGTGGCTTCACTCAATTAAGTACTGTTTTCTTGTTGAATCCATGTGGGTTTTGAACAGGCATTAAAAGTGAGAGAGAAATGCGTTTAAACAAACTTTGAAAGTAACACGATAAGTCTAAAGACTACTTAAAATTAATTTGTTTACTATCATGTGCCGGACATAAAATATAGATCTAGCCCAAATACCTTATTTATCCATTTTACACTAGTTGTTTTGTCATATGGGTGCATGCATGTGTGAGGAGAACTTAAGTGTTAAGTAACAGGTATATTTTTATAAAACACTGCTTAGAATTTCATTTAAAAAAACTTTATTTAGCTTTGATTGTAAGTTTTTAGTGTTGTATGAAAGCCAGTTTTGCAACAAAAATTAGTAAGTGTGACGGTGGTAACAGCCTAGCCAAACAATACAGTGAGTTGTTACATAAAAAAATAGTATGGTTTTGGTAACTATGGATGGTTTACATAGAAAGTAATGTTCCCGCAAGATGTTTTGTTGTTGTTGTACAGTTGACTGAGGCTACAAAAGATGCTAGCTACATGGATAAGAGAAAAAGTTGGCTTTCCTCTGACCAAGTTCTACTTCTTCTGCAGTCATCTTTTAAATGGCAGTTGACATATTATATTGTTATTTACAACTAGGCTTCGATTTCTGCACCTTTAGGCAGAACATCACCCAGTTTCAACGAACCCCTGATTAGTCCCCTTTGCAACATGCCTGCTAGGGGGCATGGAACTATTCTTGTCCCCCCCCCCCCCCCCCCCTACAAAATAGGGCTCGATGCCCAAATTAAAAAGCACAGCCCGAAGGAATCAAAGTACATGCACACAGCCAAACAATTGTGTGCATGTTTGTGAGTAAGCATGTAAAATCTAAGGATTCAGCTGCAGTTATTTGAGAAGGCTTTAATAAACTGCTGCATATCAGTATTTTTATCTTAAAATATTTTTCTTTATTAAATTCAATATTTCTTTCATCTGATTTAACTGTTATTCTGAATAAAATCTACCCTACATTGCAGATCCTGCTTTGTAACAGAGTTAAGCTTCCAGTTGCTAGCTGTGGTATCTCAAGCCTCCTGGTAGAGGGGGTTGGATTAACAGATAATATACCATATTTGTCTGAGTATGAGATGATATAAATCCCCAAAATTGTTAGGTTTAAAATTGAGGGCCATCTTACACATGCCTTTAGGCATATAGGGCTAGACCTATATTTTATAGACCAATCGGCACAAGATAGGTGATTTGGTCAGTATCACGCTGGCCACCTTTACTTCCCAGGACTGCACCCGGTACCCACTCAAGGCTGAGCCGACCTGGGAGCCAAGGTAATTTTTTGAAAAAAGTCTGGCTCGGCCAGGGAGCGAACCCACGACCTTCCGATTCGCAGCGTGCATCTAGCCACTCTGCCACAATGACTTTCTTCTTACACATAGAATGTGTTTAAAATATGTATTAACAATTTTTTGGCTAAAAAAAATAAAGATCGTCTCATACGTGGGGGGGGGGGGGGGGGGGGGGGGCTTATACATAAACAAATCTGTCACTTTCTTTCTGTTTAAATAATATCACTCTTTGGTTCTATTATTTGACATAAAATAATTCTTCTGTTTTAGAGCTGTTCTATTTGCCTAGAAGCCTGGTCTACTGGGGGTGATCATCGTGTGACTTGCCTTAAATGTGGCCATCTTTTTGGATACAGGTATTTGTTTGTTAATATTGCTGTTAGTATCTCAGCCACCAGCTGATGAAGAGGATGAAAAGGATAAAGAACAAAGCTATGAGTATAATACTTGGGTGTACAAGAGATGCAGCATGCAGGTTGATGCACCACCTTCTTGCTTTGCCAACCACGGAGGACAGAACACAAATCTGCCTAATGTGTGCCTACCTCAGAGTCAACTGTTGCACACAGCACTCATTGTATAGTGACATTAGGAAGAAAAAAGGCAGCAGGTGGGGTAAATTGTTGATATTTCAGGAAGAGGACATAATTCAGCAAGTGTGTTCACTTGAGGACATAGAACCAACCTGGTGAGGTTTGCTCCTTGTGGCTAGATGACACACTTTTGTTTGGCCACTTGAAAGGAAAACAGTTAATTTTCTGCTCCAGTCATATTTAGTGATTACTTTCAGAAGAAAATCTTAGCTGCCTTCAGCAAAAAATACTTTTGCTTCCTTCAGAAAATAATACCTATGTTCCCTTGAGAAAACATACTTTAGCTCCCTTCAGAGATCATACCTTTGCTCCCTTCAGAAAAAAATACTTTTGCTCTCTTTAGAAAAAATACTTTTGCTCTCTTCAGAAAACATACTTTTGCTCCCTTGAGAAAACGTACTTTAGCTCCCTTCAGAGATCATACCTTTGCTCCCTTCAGAAAAAAATACCTTTGCTCTCTTTAGAAAAAATACTTTTGCTCCCTTGAGAAAACGTACTTTAGCTCCCTTCAGAGATCATACCTTTGCTCCCTTCAGAAAAAAGTACCTTTGCTCTCTTTAGAAAAAATACTTTTGCTCTCTTCAGAAAACAAATAACTTTGCTCCCTTCAGAAAAAAATATGTTTGCTCTATGAGCTTCACGCTTGTCTGCCTGCTCTGTAGTCTAGCGGTTCGACCGCTGGATTTTAATAATAATTGGCCAAGACTTAAAATTTCTCAAGTCTTCTTTTTTCTCTTCCTCTGATTTCTTAGGAGAGTCTATGAGAATTATAAGGATGTGTGTTTTTGCTTTTTTTAAGAAATTTTGAAAATTTTTTAAAAAGATTTATTTGTACATGAGGAAAGGGTTAATGTAAGGGTTGAAACTAAGTTATCTGAGTATTGCCAACTTCCGCTGTGAGTTTAGGGGATCCATTTGGGGAGAAGGAGTTGGATAATAGACCAGCTACCCCATAGCAAGTGACTGATTAGAGTTTAGCTGAAATTAGATGTGGTCGGCCAAAAAGTGCAAATATCAAACCTAGCTGTAAACCACAACAAAGCGTACTTGTTAAGGATGTAAGAAAAGAAAAAAGAAAAAAAGTATTCCCAACAAACCATGACTAGAGACTGTTTTTTTTATTGCTTCCATGAACAGCAAATTACCACTGTAAGCTTAGAACACCTGTCATAACTTCAGACAGAGAGGATTAAACAGATAAACCCATCCCACATAATGAAGTAAAGCATGAGATCACTCCCACGCATGATGAATTCCCAGGATCCAAGTGTGGGTAAAGCATGAGATCACTCCAACACATGATGAATTCCCAGGATCCAAGTGTGGGTAAAGCATGAGATTACTCCCACACAAGATGAATTCCCAGGATCCAAGTATGGTTAAAGCATGAGATCACTCCAGCACAAGATGAATTCTCAGGATCCAAGTATGGGTAAAGCATGAGATCACTCCAACACATGATGAATTTCCAGGATCCAAGTATGGGTAAAGCATGAGATCACTCTAACACGTGATGAATTCTCAGGATCAAAGTATGGGTAAAGCATGAGTACCTAATGTGTTGGATCAAAAGGTGCAGATATTGTAGCCTTGCTGTAAACCTAACATTAATTTTAATTACTAAATGCATTTAACAACATTTTAAATATCTAATTTTTATGTTGTTTTCCTTTCAGCTGCATTGTTAAGTGGGTTGAACAGGCACACTGTTGTCCACAGTGCAAGGCTTTAGCCAAGAAAAGTGACATGAGACACATCTTTGTCCGTAAAATCACAGTATGTGTGCTTGTTTGACTTTCCCAGAACTTGAAACAATGCTTGTGATTAGTTTACAGGTTTTAATAGCATGCAGCAACTTAGATATGGTTCATAGATGTATGTCACTAACATCAACATCAGTTTTAGAAAAGTTGAATCCTTTTGCCCCAAAAAGCTGCAAAACAAACACTTCCAGTTTAGTCCAGTTCCCCATAAATGTCAGTTTTCTGACTTGCCCTGTTTTCAAGATGTATAGTTAATGCTGTTGGCTGTTTTTGCACTTGCCCAAACCTTTAGGAGATCAGGATATGAATACATTAATAGCATTTGGAGAGGAGGTGGGGTGGGTTCCTTAGAATCAAATAGCTTTTAAAAAAACAAAGTTGACATCTGATTTTTACGTAAGCCTCAGTGAAAGAGGTCACAGCATGAATCATCCAGTACATATGCATTCCATTTAGTGTGTCACCATGTTCGTGTTTATTGATTATTCCCTTGATATATACAAAAGAACTTCAATGTTGATAAATAAATGTTAACATAGGTATTCTGCCTATTCGCTCGCAGCTTAGCCAAACCTGTTTCTTTTTAAAAAAAATGTTTAAAGAATTACAAAACTGTTGTATAACCTCTAAACCACAGACATTGTAAAAGTATCAAATTCCTTTGACTTTTACACCTTTAACATGGTTTGGAACAAGACTAAAGTCCAAAGGAGGATGAGCAACCAAAACTTTCCACCTGAGTTTGCAGTCAGTGAATATGAAGAAGAACAAAAATTGTTTGGCAGAATAGAATGGCTTAGAGATGTAGCACTTTAATTAGAAAAGCACTGAGTTTTTCACTTGTGTGTAATTTAACAAATTAAGGTGCAGGAAGATTGGATAATAAACATCTTGTCTCGGTAACTGAAATATTTTGCTCATATCAACCACCATGGCGGATTGAGAAAAATATTAGCAGAAGGCATGGTACCATGAAGGAAGGGCAGGGGCTGATCAACACGATGATGGGCACAGGATATAAGTGACTCCTTGAAAATAAAAGTGCATGAGGTGGGAGAGCTGGCAAAAAACCGAGTTTCCTTTAGTCAGACTGTGATGAGAGTGATGTTCTGCAAAGGACCTACTACATGATCATGAAGGTACTGGTAAAGTTTCCTAGATAGGTGTAAAAAATATGCTGTAAATGGCTATGGCTTTGAAGGAAAAAAATAATCATCCACATTAGCATATTTATATTACCTTTTGATGTGGAAGGCAATGATGACAAATAACAGAAACTGATGGTTAAATGAGTGATGGTTAATCAAAGTTTTACTGTACTTGCTTTATAATATCAATATTGTGAGGATCCTTTGGGAGCGAGTGAGCAGTGCAGAGGTGCAGATAGATCATTACGGTCTAAGCAGAATGGCGCTGCGAGGAGTTAGCGGGGAATCTGGCCGATGCTCGACACTCAGGGGAAGGATGAGACGGATATACAGTCAGACGGTTACTGGTACGATCGGAATTAGAACTCTTCGCTTGCTGCTGAAAATGGGGGACTGAGCACTTATGGGAGTGTCCCGAGTGCTGTGATGTTGATTCCTAATTCAACAATCAACATTCTTTATATATTGATGTACTTTACTACTACTACTACTATGTTGTGACACTTACTAAATGTTTTCTCTCAAACACCAGGCAGAAGATACCTCTCAAAGAGACAGAGCTTTGAGGCTGTTAGAAGAGGAAAGAGCATCCAAGAGAATTATAGAACAAAAGGAAGCAATGACTAGGAAAAAGCTTGAAACTCAAGCAAGTGATATAGATGCCCTTAAAGCCGAAGTATTCCAGTTAAAAGCCCAGTTGTCAGATACTGGAGGGTAGGTTAACAGCTCATACTTTACAAGTATATTAACTCTTTCTAAATATTATTATAGCACTTTCTAAGCCAGATTGTTTGAACTTTGGAGTAAAAGTAATTAACCACGTGTGTGGTAATTTAGATTTGACTGATTACTTACACTGTTTTGTTGTTGCAAACTGTGCTAGAGTTTTATAAGGTATTGTACATAAATGGAACATATTTAAGTAAAACAGGAACTCTCATTTCATTCATTACTTTACCCAAGATGATTACTTTTCTGAAGAAAAAAAATAACATATTATTTCATTAAAAAGTTTAGTTTGTGTAATAAATCATGAAAAATCTCCCAGAAGAACAGACATTCTGATCAGAGATGTATTTCATATTTTGTCATGCTTGTCCAAGTAATCTCCTGGGAAGCATAGACAGTCAGCATTAGGTTGACCACATCAGTTGTAACAGAGTTGCAATTTCGATGCATGAACAGTTTGTTCACACAGCTATGAAAAAGAACAAAGGAATACATAGAGCCATTGCCATGAATTGAGGGGCGGCACAGTTGTTTGATGGGACTTAGTGAAAGTATTGAAAACTGTGAAATTAGAGTGTTGTTGATTTTGAATTTGGGGGGGGGGGGGGGTAGGCCATTGATTGCAGCTTGCGATAATGGCACCAAATGATCTGGCCGACACTCACCACTGTCACATATCACTCCTGTCACGTGCCTGATTTAAGGATTTCTCCTTAAGAACCATCAGCACTCAGAAATAATTATGTTGAGTCGTTGGCTCGTATTGGTCTAAGGGATGCCCCGTGGCCAATATACGCTCAACTTATTTCTGGAGTAGGGCAACTCAAGTTTTGGCACTACAAAATATATATATATATAAATATAATATTCCTAGGCACACTTGGCTGGACGCCCCCACTACTATAAAAAGATAGCTCCCAGGTTATGATAGTCTACTGTCATAACCATGTTAACACAGATGAAAATATTTAATTGAACATACATGTACTTTAGACAGCTAAGAACCCGGAATGAGTGACACTCCAGTCAATAGTGAAACTTCAGAAATACTGTAATCATTGTAACACATAAATTATATAAGAATCAGCAAAGAACTTCAAGAACACAGAGTGATATGAAGGACCAAACTTCAACTCGATCTTGAATTGACTGAACGTGTATGAATGTTCCAAAGTCTGCCTTTCTCATCCCTATGATCAGTATGGACATTTAATAGTGAAGCCTGGCAATAAACCCATGAGTGTCCACACTTATCTGAATACTTGGTTTCTTGAACTGGCTGGATGTTCAGTCACTTTGTTGTTATGTTCAAGACAGTCCCACACTAGACACTCGAGCACTGGAGATACACCCAAGCTCCTGGAGAGGATCTCGGATACCAAGTCAAACACTTGAGGCACAAACAAACTGCCGGATAAATGATGGTGAAGGTACAACACCCATAATGTTGTCTGTAGACTAACTGGAGGATTTCATTAGTTGATGACCACAATGAGGTTCACCATCTGCTGCCCACCACTGGCTTAGACATAGGTGACTTCCTTGTAGGTGGTTTTGTGGACTGCTGATTCACTGCCTGGCCTCCAAGGAGATATCATCCCAAGCTTAGGAAATGTCCTAGACACCAAAGGCCGCCTCCTCAAAGTATAAATTTACGAGGCCCCGTTGAACACATCTGTTCTTCTAGGCAGTCAGGCAAAAAAATGCCCGCTTCAAACTACGCTTAGCGTCACTAGAAAAGAAGTTCCCTTGTATTCCTGCCCAAAGAGTAAACCGGTTGACAGGAATTTCTAATTAAAATATCAGAATTAGCCAACCCACAGTTGCAAGTTTGAAAATGAAGATTTATCAAAGCAACTAGAGGGTCTAGAAATTACTATTTTACCCGATAAAGGTATAGATCAATATAAGGGACTATATACCTTTCCGGACAGGTCCAGGTTTGAAATTTTACTGAGCGTGAGGGATATCAGGTCCCGACTCGTCCAATGTGTCTGGTGGCTGTACATTTCATGAGAATCACTCAAGGGAGTATTGAGACGGATATATGGTTAGTTACTGTTACCATCAGAATTGAAACTCTTCGCTTGCTACTGAAGATGGGACGGAGCGCTTATGAGAGTTCTGTGACAACGATTCTCATTTCAACATTCAGCATTGCATTGTCATTTGCCTAGGTTGCGTGATGAATTGAAAATAAATTGCCAACTGATTTGTGATTTTTAGTTTTTTAATTTAATGTATGTTGGTGAGATGATTCTGTCGGACGCAAGGGACTCCCGTACATTTAGTGGTGGAAGATACAACCACTAACTTCCTGTACTCATTACGAGGGTTATTATTCACTTGGAGGTCCCTTAAATTACAGATACCAGGAGGAAGCCCTGAGTGTACGTTTGGCTCTGCAGCAGTGACAAGAATCCTTGTTAAATTCGGCTCTGCAACACAACCACCAAGTGCCGATTAATCTATCAAATATGAGTCGAGCATCCTAGGCTCGATGTGCCACTGGCAAATTAAGAGTCATTGACATTATTTGTAATACATGTTAAATGTGCGGCTAATTATTATGTAAATAAAGGATTAATTGATTGTTCCAGATGTTTTCGATTGCAAGGTTCTGTTCTGCCTACAGCAAGGACCATCATTTCGAGCAGTCAGTCAGCGAACAGCAAACGTTTTCATCCATTCCAGAGAATTTCCATTTCTCCAGTAAGGTTTGCTGTTGTACCTTTGTGAATATTTTTGTTGAAATGTAACATAGGGTCTTATAACAGTGGTTCTTTGTGGAAAACTTTTCTAATTGTGAGCAGGTCATGTTAATCACACTTGCAATCTCCATTGGCTGCGATTTGTATGCTTCTCTGTAGCACAGTACAATACAAATAGTACAACACAGTACAAATGGAAAGAGAAAAAGTGTGAGAAATTCTCCTTAAGGTCAATGCTGTATGATGTTGGTCGTCATGTCTATCCACAGCCTTCTGTCTTGTGTACCTAACAGTCATTTCACTGTTACCAAATCTCTGCTTCGAAAAAATTCCAACATCTCCCTGTTAGGGTTGGCAAGCACTTTGTGAGCCGTCGAGACTTCATTATAACCAACTATTCATGGGAATAATCAGTGGAGGTATATTAGAATGGCCACTGCTTACTGGGGACATTGCATGCAGGGGCATGTCCAGTGTGCAGTGATTTTGATTATGATATAACATAACAGGCTTTGTTTGCTAGTGTAATATATTGTTATAATGAAAACCCTCAGATAATACAGAATATAGTGACTTCCGGTCAAAATGGATGCCAGCGGTCACTATTTCGCGTCGAGGCACATTTTTTTGCTTCTGCCAGGTGGTGGCTGTTGCATTTGTGATCCATTTGTAGACTGAAAGGATATAGTTTCGTCGCGCCAGCTACTGAGTTGAGTGCATGGCGCGACCCTGTGAGCTGCGGATTTCATTCGAAATGTTTTTTGACTGCGACCAACGTGATGTTGTGAAATGTATATTCAGATAATGGCGCGTACCCTGTCACCACAATATTGGTGGTGCCCTTATGTGATTAATATTGATCGCGTGTGCAACTGCTGATCTGTTGGTAACTTCTGCTACCGACAATGATGAACTGCATTTCTAATGTCAAACTGTTTGTGTTAGCAGTTCCGACGGCTACCATATGCTTTTAATGCATGTGTATGCTAGTGCATATGCTGAGACAGCAGTCTGTCAATCTTTCCACAAGGGACTGTGATAAACATTGTGTGTGTTTTTCGTTGGCACAGGAGCTAAGCAACTATGTAGTGACTTGTTTGCTATGAAGCTGAAACTAAGATTACCAAGATTATCAGAATATAGCACTTGGGTTTTGTACTTCATTTCCTGCTTGTATTTCTCCCTTATTTTTATGGCCTTGAGCCTGAGCATTTAAGGCCACAATGCAGTTGTCACAAACTATGCAGATTAGGATTTTTTTTCTTTGTGTCCAAGGAAGGAAACAATCTCCATCCCTTACTGAAAATGGAACCCGGGGCACCTGCATGAAAGCCCACGGCTCTAATCACTTATTCAGTCATTGCTTGTGTTTTGTATAATTATGAAATATTATTTCAATCGTGAAAACTATAACACTCAAAATATAGAATTGAGTTTGCAAAAGTAAATAGTTGTGTAGTAGAATGCATTTGGAGGAAAATATTCAAAGTAACTGCAGAGGTAGACGGTGATACAGATGGGAAGATAACAATGAATGAAAGGCAGTTTTGAAGCGTAAAACCAGGATGAGAGACAGTTGAAGATCCATTGTAAAAAATGGGGAAAAGTAAAGGACCCTTTTTCATGCCTTCAGGTGTATTGGGCATGTGTGGCTAGACCTATATGTTATAGACCAGTCAGCACTTGGTGGGTATTGTGGTCAGCATCACACCGGCCGCCTTTACTTCCCAGGACTGCCCCTGGTACCCACTCAAGGCTGGGTCAGTTATAGCCAACCTTAATTTTGAAGACATGCCTCTGTGGCTTATTTATGAAATATGTTGATATTAATATGTGATACTGATAGTTTGGCGTTCGTATGTGGATTGCAAGAAGGCAAAAATTATCACTGTTTACAGTGTTGATAGTTTGAAATTTGTGTGTAGAATATATTGCTTTTAGCATACATTATTGTCACCTGATTTGTTTTCAATATACAGTGAATATATAACAAGATCTTTAATTGATATGCCCGGGATTGTGGTTGGTGGCACAATATAAACAATTTACGTTATGCTGATGACACAGTTTTGATAGCAACAAGTCAGAAAAAACTACAGGAAATGTTAGACATTGTGGTGTTAGAAAGTGGAAGAATGGACCTCAGTTTGAATAATGGGAAGACAGAAGTAATGGTGGTATCAAAGAAACAAATTATTCCTAAAGTGTAATAAAATGATGGTGTTATTTTAGGACAAGTACATAAATTTAAGTATCTGGGCACATGGATAACTTCAGATAGAAGATGCATAACTGAGATAAGAAACAGAATAGGACAGGCAAAAACTGCATTTTATAAAATGGAAAACATCTTGTGCAATATATCCTTGTCATTGAGAGTTAGGAAAAGAATTCTTGCTTGCTACATACATCCAGTTTTAACATATGGCTGTGAATCCTGGACAATTGGTAGGCAGGCCAAACAATTTCTGGAGGCCTCAGAGATGTGGTTTTACAGAAGAATGCTTAGAATACCTTGGACAGCCAAAAAGAACAACCAAGAGGTTTTGAAAGAGGCGTGAGCCCAAGACAACTTATCACAGACATCAGAAGGAGACAGTCATAAATTTTCGGCCATGTTATGAGAAGAGGGAAAATAGAACATGTTGTGACCACTGGAAAGATCTGTGGAAGGAGGGATAGAGGAAGACAACGAGAGAAGATGCTTGCCAGTCTTGTTGCATGGCATAGAGATTCTCAGAATACCATAGTCCAAGAAAAAGAGAAATACTGACAGTAGAACAAACAGCATCCTTTCTCGGAAGCTGAAATATTTTAGTCATATCAAGCGCCACAACGGATTTGAAAAAATTATAGCAGAAGGCATGGTTCCAGGAAGGAGGGGCAGGGGCCGACCGACACGAAGATGGGCACAGGATATAAGTGACTCCTTGATTATGAAAGTACATGAGGCAGGAGAACTGGCGAGACACCGAGTTTCTTTCAGGCAGACTGATGAGAGCGGCGTTCTGCAAAGTACCTGCTACATGATGATGAGAAAGATTCTCAGAATACCATAGACCAAGAAGAACAGAAATACTGGCAGTAGAAAGACCCTCCATATCAAACTCTACAGCAGATTAGAGATTAGAGAGAATAATACCAGAAGGTCTGGTACCAGGAAAGAGGGACAGGGGCCGACCAGCACATAGGCATAAGATGTAAGTGACATCTTGAGTAGGAAAGTGCTTGAGGCCAGAGAGCTGGCGAGAGTAAAAGTTTCTTTCAGGCAGACTGTTATATGAGTAATGTTCTGCAAATGACCTGCTCCATAACGACGATATTGATAGTTTAACATTTGTATGTGATTTACAGGAAGGCAGCTGTCGAGTTTTTGATCAGTGCAAAGAATTGGGCCTGCTTGTTGCCTCACAGAAGTCACCCAATGCTTTGTTTCGAGGCTATGGGATCAAGGTATATTCTTCTTCTTCTTCTTCTTCTTCTTCTTCTTCTTCTTCTTCTTCTTCTTCTTCTTCTTCTTTCCTTAGCTTGAAATAAATTATCTATGTTCATTCATTGTTCACTGTTTCTTACTTATGTATTTTCTGCATTTAGTATGTAAGGGTACCTATATAAAGCCAGTCCTGATGTGCAGAGGTAAATAACTGACAGTGGGTCATTTATAAATGTGTGCTGATGGAAGATAACAATGTTAGACCGAACAGTGTTTGTAAGGTTCACAAAGTCTTAGTCTTAACTGGGGTTTCAGCTTCACTGTAATCTGGTCACCCCATACTTTCCCCAGTTCCTGTGCCAGTGAAAATCAAATGAAATGTCCCTTACTGTTCCATTTGAAAAAAAAAACAACTGGTGAACAAACAAAACTGGTTGCACATATTTATAATTAAGTGTAGATACAATTAGAGAGGGCGCACGAGGGGAACAGTGTGCTATGTAATCAGTGTGCTACTGAAACACTCAGCATATACACCTTGAGGCATTTGCTGCAGGAGATAGAGCATCTCAGGGTGTGCCAAGTAAAAGCCTAGTATGATATGCTATTGATTCTTAAGTCAGTAACTATCTTCACATTCACCGGCTATAAACTCTGGTGGCAAGGTCTAATTGTTCGTCCCCTTCTGGACGTTAGTAATGTTCCAGAACTTTAGTTTTGCATGCACATCTATTTTACAGATCTGGTTTATTTATATACAGACTTGATTCCTTGCCTCTCATGCAGATGCACTCCAGTTTAGAAGGAAACCCCTAATTAGTCGACTCTTATGACATGCTTGTTAGGGAGGCAGTGGGTCTATTCCCTGCCCCTCTTGTTAGAATATGTGGAGAACAGAAGTTGTCACTGAAAAAAGTTTAAACAAAAAAGAGTAAAGAGTCATTATGCTTGTGGCCTATGACGCAAAACATATATTTGGTTTCTTGCCTCTCAGGCAGATATACTCTGACTTCGAAGGAAGCTCCCAATAGATCAATTCTTCTGACATGCTTTTGAGCAGGCAGGGGTCTCTTCTTGCTTTCCCCACAATGGGGCCCTGGAACCCACTTGAGGAACATCATTAATAATTTGTACCTGTCCTGTGTATTCTCATCATTTGTCTGTAAAATCACATCTCTTCTGCTTCCAAATAATTGTTGACTAAATGTGGAACTGTCCATGATTCCCTTCCTTAGATCAGGATAGGATTTGTATAGTAGGTCATAAAACTCTCTTAATCCTTTCGTCCCAGGAAGTACCAAAAGGCTGCTTAAGCGGCATGGCTATAGGGACTTGTTTACAAGAATTCTTGCTAATAGCATTAATTCCGTTTGCACATGTGCAAATTTTTCAATAGGTCAGGCAGTGCCTAGTTAATAATAAAAAATTGCATTTGTGGGTGTTTTCTTGTGATAAACCAGCTTTTTAAAAATTGAAATTACAATGTCATTATTTGCCATTATTCACAGTGGTCTCCAGTGGCCAGGTCACCAGTTAAGAAAATGAGCCAGAATTCTACATTTATTTAACCTCAGGAAGGTGTAACCCGGTTGATTCTCTGCTGCATTTGTTTTTATTGATGACCCCATTTTATCACATCATAATTTTATTGACGACCCCATTTCATCAGATTGTAATTTTTGTTTGCTTACTTATGTCTGAAAATGGATTTGTTAGCAATATTTTTGTGTGTGAATTGTGTAAAAGGATTGTTTTATTAAAAGGAATTTTTTTCAGGAAAACCTGAAATACTTAGTTATGGGGCCTTAGCATTGTTCTTTCTAGGTCACCTTAATTAAATCTCAATTTTTCCTTTTGTTAATTTCTCAACTTTCAGATCTTAACAAGGGACTTCAGGTCTTTGTCCTACCAACCTCTTCATACAGCTCCAATCAGAGACATGTGCTTCCGGCCCAGTGCTTTTGATGGCTTGTTGCTGAGCTGTGGGCTTGACAAGTGTTTACAGTTGTCCAGTGCCACCACTAAAGTGGTTGTTCAGAAGTAGGTTGCTTCACACAAGTTCAGTAGTCATAAGACAGAGATCAGATATTAGTAGACCCTTGTATTATGATAATTCGTGCAGACAGATGATAACCGTCAACTTCATAATTAGTCTGTGTTTTGTTTTAAATGTTTTTTTAAAAATGGATGGACTCAAGAACTTGATGACCAGTGATAGGATTGATGGAAAATGGGAAAGGCAGAAAAATAAATAATGGATGGGGCAAGAACACTGACCCCCTTCTTGATTAAGGTGATCGCGAAACTTTCCCCACCACCATCCTTTCCTCCTTCCCCCAGGAATTAATCTTTTATGATAAACATTTTGCTCAGGCATTTATTTTCTGTTGCCTTTAACTTGAGTTACATATCATTAGTGGTTCTCCAACTTTCGCTAGCATATATTAACACTGGAATAACATTAGAATTGAAAGTGCAATATAACTTAGTTTTAAAATTATATAAAGTCGTAATTAGATGTTAATGCCTTTTTATATATCTGTTCTTCATGTTTTGGATCAGTTCTGATATTTCTGGCCATCAAACATGAATGTATGTAGCCATTTGCAATCCATGCTTTTATGTTTTTAACTGTATGTTCATATAGGGTGCATTGCTATGATTAAAACACTTTATATATATATATATATATATATATATATATATATATATATATATATATATATATATATATATATATATATATATATATAAAAAAAATATAAATAAAAATTCAATTGCTGTGTGAAAGATGACTGTTTAGAAGGGCAAACATCTTTTTTTTTTTTTTTAAATGAGAGCAGTTAAGAACAGCCAGATGCAGGATGTACAGTGGTACTGTGGTCACAGATGCCTCTGATCACGCACAGATTGGCCCCAAGAACACAATTTCTGAACACATTTTTATTTCGGCCGGGAACTGCCTCGGCCCAAGAACACATAAGCATAGCTTTGGCACCCTTTTTTCAAATCGCAAACAGCATCAGTTGTACTCAGGTTTGTGCTCTGTGCACATTGTTGTTGCAATGTTCTTGATACATAAATATGAGATTGGTGTTTGTGTTTCTGGTCTTGCCAAGCAGTACAACATGGCTAAATCTGTGATCTGTACTATCACAAAGAACAAAGATGCACTAAAGACGACTGATGTGCCTAAAGGAGTGACTGTATTAATGAAACAAAGGTCTCAGGTGTTAGAAAAAAATGTATGTTAGTTTGGATTAATGAATAGCAGCTTACTGGAGATAGTGTTCATGAGGCCCTCATATACAAGAAGGCTTTACTTTTGCGGTAATTTTATGGTGAAAATGCTAATTACAAGTGATGCTAGCATTGACGAATTTAAAGCAGATAGCGGCTGAGTCGAGACATTTTGTTGACGAACCTGAATTCATAGTGTTGTTAGACATGGTGAGGCAGCTAGTTCGGACCAAAAAAAAAAAGTAGATGCCTATGTGAAGGACTTTGCCAACTCTGAAAGTTACATGCTGCGTCTGGATTTTAATTAGAATGAAACAGGATTTCTTTGGTGGATTAGTGAATTCATTGAATATGCGTTAGTTTCAATGGGAAGAATTTTTTCGGCTTGCGAACATTCATGTCCAGGAGTGGAGTAAAGAAAAAAATGAATGAAGTTCGTAATTCAAGGTACTGCTGTACTTATATAGAAGATTAAAAAAAAAAACCCAGATCAAGCCAGCCAGCAGTATCCGTTAGAACACTTTTCATTGAGAAAACTATCCTGAAGACTCAGTCAGCATCCTGACATGAAAGCAGCAGACAATAATATTTAGATTGCTAACTGGACACAACGGACTCATGTACCACATGTACAAGAAATTCAAGACTGTGGCCTGAGAACTTTACCATTGTGATCATGCACCACCTAAGACTTGCTGTCTATATGAATTTGGTAGATCCCGGGTTTGACCAGCAGTGTTCCAGATGAATCTTAACTCTATGGATTGGTGTAGGACGTGCTGCGTTTTCATCTGAAAACCACGGCAGGGAGAACAGAAAGATTATTCACAAGTAATCACTGTTTATATGTTGTGCTTCTTCTTTCAGATACACTGTGAACAGTGCAGTATGGTGCTGTGCCTGGAATACACAGAACACTAACTTGCTTTATGCAGGTATGGAGAGAGGTGTTGTTAGAGAGTTTGATATCAGGCGTACAGACTGCCACGTTCAAGATGTGGTGGACTATGGAGGAAGCCCCATCACCAGCATCCAGTTTTGGAATGGTCAGGTGGACGGAAACAAGTAGGTCTCTTAAATCTCAACTCTTACATATCAGATAACACAGACACTGTATGCGTTTTTTGTAGCTGTCTTTGTCACAGCCAGTTTCTTAGCTGTCTTTGTCACCAACAGTTTCTACGCTATCAATGTCACAGCCAATTTCTTAGCTGTCTTTGTCCCAGCCAATTTTTAAGCTATCTTTGTCACAGCCAGTTTCTTAGCTGTCTTTGTCACAATCAGTTTCTTAGCCATCTTTGTCACACCCAGTTTCTCAGCTATCTTTGTCACAACCAGTTTCTTAGCTATCTTTGTCACACCAAGTTTCTTAGCTGTCTTTGTCACAACCAGTTTTTATTTAGCTGTCTTTGTCACACAAAGTTTTTTAGCTGTCTTTGTCACAACCAGTTTTTTTTGCTAATTTTGTCACATCAAGTTTCTTAGCCATCTTTGTCACACCCAGTTTCTTAGCTGTCTTTGTCACAGCAGTTTTTATTTAGTTGTCTTTGTCACAACCATTTTCTTGGCTGTCTTTGTCACACCAAGTTTCTTACCTGTCTTTGTCACAACAAATTTCTTAGCCATCTTTGTAACACCCAGTTTCTTAGCTATCTTTGTCACAACCAGTTTCTTAGCTATCTTTGTCACAACCAGTTTCTTAGCTATCTTTGTCACACCAAGTTTCTTAGCTGTCTTTGTCACAACTAGTTTTTATTTAGCTGTCTTTGTCACACTAAGTTTTTTAGCTGTCTTTGTCACAACCAGTTTTTTTTGGGCTAATTTTGTCACATCAAGTTTCTTAGCCATCTTTGTCACACCCAGTTTCTTAGCTGTCTTTGTCACAGCAGTTTTTATTTAGCTGTCTTTGTCACAACCAGTTTCTTGGCTGTCTTTGTCACACCAAGTTTCTTAGCCATCTTTGTCACACCCTGTTTCTTAGCTGTCTTTGTTACAGCAGTTTTTATTTAGCTGTCTTTGTCACAACCAGTTTCTTGGCTGTCTTTGTCACAACAAATTTCTTAGCCATCTTTGTAACACCCAGTTTCTTAGTTATCTATGTCACGACTAGTTTCTTAGCTATCTTTGTCACAACTAGTTTCTTAGCTATCTTTGTCACACCCAGTTTCTTAGCTGTCTTTATCACAACCAATTTTTATTTAGCTGTCTTTGTCACACCCAATTTTTTTAGTTGTCTTTGTCACACACAGTTTTTTAGCTGTCTTTGTCACAACCAGTTTCTTGGCTGTCTTTGTCACACCAAGTTTCTTAGCCATCTTTGTCACACCCTGTTTCTTAGCTGTCTTTGTCACAAGCAGTTTTTATTTAGCTGTCTTTGTCACACCCAGTTTTTTTTAGCTGTCTTTGTCACAACCAGTTTCTTGGCTGTCTTTGTCACACCAAGTTTCTTAGCTGTCTTGGTCACAACCAGTTTCTTGGCTGTCTTTGTCACAACCAAATTCTTAGCCATCTTTGTAACACCCAGTTTCGTAGCTATCTTTGTCACAACCAGTTTCTTAGCCATCTTTGTCACACCAAGTTTCCTAGCTGTATTTGTCACAGCCAGTTTCTTAGCTGTCTTTGTCACAGCAGTTTTTATTTAGCCGTCTTTGTCACAACCAATTTCTTAGCTGTATTTGTCACAGCCAGTTTCTTAGCTATCTTTGTCACAACCAGTTTCTTGGCTGTCTTTGTCACAACCAATTTCTTAGCCATCTTTGTAACACCCAGTTTCTTAGCTATCTTTGTCACAACCAGTTTCTTAGCTATCTTTGTCACACCAAGTTTCTTAGCTGTCTTTGTCACAACTAGTTTTTATTTAGCTGTCTTTGTCACACTAAGTTTTTTAGCTGTCTTTGTCACAACCAGTTTTTTTTGGGCTAATTTTGTCACATCAAGTTTCTTAGCCATCTTTGTCACACCCAGTTTCTTAGCTGTCTTTGTCACAGCAGTTTTTATTTAGCTGTCTTTGTCACAACCAGTTTCTTGGCTGTCTTTGTCACACCAAGTTTCTTAGCCATCTTTGTCACACCCTGTTTTTTAGCTGTCTTTGTCACAGCAGTTTTTATTTAGCTGTCTTTGTCACAACCAGTTTCTTGGCTGTCTTTGTCACAACAAATTTCTTAGCCATCTTTGTAACACCCAGTTTCTTAGTTATCTATGTCACAACTAGTTTCTTAGCTATCTTTGTCACAACTAGTTTCTTAGCTATCTTTGTCACACCCAGTTTCTTAGCTGTCTTTATCACAACCAATTTTTATTTAGCTGTCTTTGTCACACCCAGTTTTTTTAGTTGTCTTTGTCACACAAAGTTTTTTAGCTGTCTTTGTCACAACCAGTTTCTTGGCTGTCTTTGTCACACCAGGTTTCTTAGCCATCTTTGTCACACCCTGTTTCTTAGCTGTCTTTGTCACACCCATTTTTTTTTAGCTGTCTTTGTCACAACCAGTTTCTTGGCTGTCTTTGTCACACCAAGTTTCTTAGCTGTCTTGGTCACAACCAGTTTCTTGGCTGTCTTTGTCACAACCAAATTCTTAGCCATCTTTGTAACACCCAGTTTCGTAGCTATCTTTGTCACAACCAGTTTCTTAGTCATCTTTGTCACACCAAGTTTCCTAGCTGTATTTGTCACAGCCAGTTTCTTAGCTGTCTTTGTCACAGCAGTTTTTATTTAGCCGTCTTTGTCACAACCAATTTCTTAGCTGTATTTGTCACAGCCAGTTTCTTAGCTATCTTTGTCACAACCAGTTTCTTGGCTGTCTTTGTCACAACCAATTTCTTAGCCATCTTTGTAACACCCAGTTTCTTAGCTATCTTTGTCACAACCAGTTTCTTAGCCATCTTTGTCACACCAAGTTTCTTAGCTGTATTTGTCACCGCCAGTTTGTGAGCTATCTTTGTCACAGCCATCACGTCTGTATCTCAGCTGTCTTTGTCACAGACAGTTGTCTCTGTGTTTTAAACAATATTTTGGTTAGTGTCATGTGTTCCATGTGGATATAGACTTATGTAGTGAGTGTGTGGGTTTGAATCCTGACACTAAACACCCACATGGGAAAGTGGACAAAAATCTGAGTTGTGTTGATAACAAAGTCCTGGATAGCAAAAATGGCTCCTGTTTAAAATAACAGCTGAAGTTGGTTACGGTGAAAATAATTCTTATGAATAAAAATGGTACATAGTTTATTTAAAGAAGCAGGTACACCTCTAGACAGGGTTCAGTTTGAGAGACTACCTTACTTTTCCTGCCAGTCTGATGTATGCACAACGACTGCCAGCTCATCCACTAGCACTCTCTGGTCCTGATATGTTAGCCTGACACCTCAGTGTTTCAGGCAAAATCTCAAGCCAGGTGGTCCCTAATTGCAGCTTCACTGTAGCCATGTTATCTCAAGCTGTTGACACATACCGGAGGACGTGTATCTGGCCTCAAAGATTCATTCATTCATTATCCTGTTGTGTCACATAGGGCTTGCAGTCTATTCCTCCATCGCCTTCTATCCTGTGCGATTAGTTCAGTATAATGGATGGAATCTAGCCCAGCAGCTTTAGTCTCTCTCATCAACGTTCATCTTACGGTTTATTTTGGGTGTCTTCGCCTCCTTAATTCCTTTATTTCCAATTTTAATGCCTGTTTGTTGATTCTCTGCAGGTTTCTTCTCAGGATGTGTCCAGTCTTCACTATCTTAGTCAAAGGAAAATTAAGTGGCTATTATTTCTGGTCAGCCTGGAATTAGATTGTCGCTCAGAAGCATGGTTTTCTCAAATTCTTTACACACATTTGAAAAATTGAGTTGGTGGGGGGGGGGGGGGGGGGGGAGACCAGGTTCTGAAGTGAGAAAGTTCAAACACAGTAATTTCCTTGAATGTCAAGAAAACAGAAACAATGGTTATATCAAAGAAGAAGATAACTCTAAAATGTGATATCGCAATAGAAGGGCTTAACCAAGTTAATAAATTCAAGTATTTGGAGACATTCATAACATCAGATGGATGATGTGTGACAGAAATTAAGAGCAGAATTGCTCAGACAAAAGCGGCATTTCAGAAGGAGAAAAGTATCTTATGTAATAAATCACTCTCATTAAACATTAGAAGACGAGTACTGAAATGTTACATCGAACCTGCTGTTGTATGGCAATGAATCTTGGAATGTTAACAAACAATTTAAGAAGAGCTTGGAGGCATCTGTAATGTGGTTCTTGAGAAGAATATTGCAAATACCTTGGACTGCCAGAATAACTAACAATATTTGTCTGGAAATGGCTATTGAGAGTAGAACATTATATACAACAATGAGAAGGAGACAAACAACGTTTTTGGGTCATGTAATGAAAAAAGGAGCACTGAAAAATATTGTGACGATTGAAAAAATCACTGGTAGAAGAGGCAGAGGTAGACCAAGAGAAATGATAGTGGATGGCTTAAGACAGTAAAATGGAGCAATATTATCTGTGGAATTGATCCAGAACACCAAAGACCAAGATCTGTGAAGATGCATGAATGGCTACGCTAACTAGCAGGGCACTTGATGATGATGATGATAGATGTTAAAAAGCCACCTTGGTTATAACTTCCTCATAAAGTTGAACAAGATTAATTGACATAAAACCAAAACAAAGAAAGACAAAGGACTTGTTAATGATTTTTTTTCAAATGTTGAAAATACTTTTACCAGTTCTATTCTAATTTTTATTTCTGTGTACTTGTGCCATCACCACATAAAAATATAGACATCTTGATTGTTTCAGCCTTCAAGGTTTGCTGATAGCTCATCTGCAGAGCCTGATATTTGCGGAACAAACCAGTGAACAATATACTGCACACCATCTGCCTCATTTACAGGGTAAGCTGTATTTTACATGTTATTGATCACTTCAGCCCTACATGCTGAAGCCTTGGAGTGTGGTTTGCTTCTCCCACAGTTTACTGACACAGTGTTCCTATATGTGGACTGAAAGTACATGGTTTCCTTGCCCAGCTACTGAGTTGAGTGCATGCTGCAACACTGAGCTGGGGATTTTGTATGCTTTTCGACTACCAGAGTTGGTTTGTATTGTTGACTGCATCAGAAGACAACAGGCGGCCTGTTGTCAGAGAACTGTTGGTGCCGTATATATGAGGGGAAGTCAGTAAGTCACAAATGGTTATGGAAAAGCAGGAAAATTTAGTTGGTGGTTTCTAAAGGTGTCATTAGGTGACAGCAACATCGAACTTTATGTCTCCATTTGTTAAGTGGCGTTAGGTGTTGCATGCGCATTCACAACACAGAAACAATTTTTTTTAAGGACGCTATAAATTTGTTGATGAAGTTCGATCTGGTCATCCTGTTGAAATTGTAGAAGATGCATCCATGCAGCGGATGGACTGAGGATGAATCATGGGTGCATCACTACCAGCCTGAATCAAAGTTTCCTTCAATGCAATAGAAACATCTTTCTTCACCTTGTGTTAAAAAATTTAAAGTTACGCCATCAGCTCTGAAGGTTATGCTGACTGTGCTCTGAGATTGTCAGGGAGTGCTTTTAACCAATTTAAAAAAAAGAGGTAACATTGTGAATGCTGATTCATACTATAAAGTTCTATCGATGCTTCGTGATGCAATTCGAAGGCCTGCTGACTCGAGGAGTACTGCCCCTCCGTGACAATGCCAGACCACATACGGCTTGGTTAACTCAGGAGAAAATTAATGATCAAGGGTATGAACTTCTGGAACATCCACCTTACATCTCTGACTTAGTCCCTATCAATTTCCACCTTTTTGTCCACTGAAAACCTACCTTGGCGGGAAACATTTTGCGAATGACACAGAAGTTGAATGTAAAGTGAAAATGTGGTTTAGAAAACAAAGCATGCAGTTCTATGCAGCAAGTTTGGAAGGACTGATAAAACGATGGTACAAATGCATCAGTGTTGATGGAAATTATGTTGAAAAATTGAAGGGACATTGTATGTGTAAAAATTAATGGAGTTCAAGTTTCTTTAGGTTTTTTTTTTCTTTCTAACAACCATTTGTGACTTACCTGTTTATTTCCCCTTGTAGTAATGTGCAAATGCTGAATTGTTTAACTGCTGCTTCAGTCGGCGATAAACTGCAATGTTAGTGTTGGTGTTGGCACTTCTGGTGGCTTTCTTATGCATTTAAAGTGTGTGTGTATAAAATTGGCTGTCTGTTCAATTTGGTTTTCATTGGTCGCAAAGTTTGAACTAAAAAGTGATACAATACGTTAACTGTATCACTTTAGTAGAGTTACTGTACGTTACGAGTATCATTCCCGTAGAGTTACTAATCTATGTCATTTTTATCTCTACATTTATCTATGATGTTTTTTATGTGATTTTATTTAAGTGATTTTCATGTGACATTATCTATGGGATTATATCTCTGACTTTCTATGTGTTGTTTAATTGTTGGTATTATATGTGTGACCCTTTTTTTTAAAAATGTTTTTTAATCGCCGGGAAATCAAGAAGATTAACAATTTGTCCATAAGATAAGTGGTGTTTCAAGAGAGGCAATGTGGTTTGTGTATTTCAGTGGAAAAAATTCACTTTTTATGTGTGCTTCATTGTGTGTTGATATAACTCCACCTGACAGTATACAGCGAAATATGCCAGGCTATAAACTGTGCAGCGTATTGTTTGTGTCCAAGTTGGTTAAAGGCCTGTGTTCCACTGGAGGATAGAGGGCAGAGAAAGAAGGAGTTATCTGTGGGATTTTGTCTGCATTTTTACTTATTATTTTTACATGTGATTGTGCAGCACCATTGATGAGTCTCAGTTTACATCCAAGTGGGAAATACCTGTCTTCATTTAGACCTGGCACCAGCTTTCCAAGATGTAGATATGAGGTAGGAACAGCTGATTATTCAGATGATATTATTTTGTATCCCTTTGTTTCTGGGCCTCATCTGTGTAAGGGATCTGTTTTGGGGGTTAGAACTGATTCCTTTTCAAGCATGACATAAAAGGCAAGTAATTAGGGTTATGAATAAATTAGTTGTATGCAGGTATCACAGCCTAGCTTTAAGGTGATTATGCTTTCCTGAGGAAAATAGCGAATTTGGGTCAGGTTTATATTTTTGGGAAAATTTAATTTGTACATACCTTAGTGTGTCCTTTGTCAGATTCAGTACTTTTTTTATTTTTTATTTTTATTATAATACAGTATTCATGTTTTACTTAGCTAACCTTAGTTGTCAAGTTTTATATTTATTGAAAATTATTGGTGAATTTCGCACCTTAGCAACGGGACTTGCGCAATGAGATAACTGTACGTATCATGTAATGTAGTAATCATTATGACCCCTGTATTATTTGGAAGGTTTCGGGACTATCAAGTGGGAACTTTTGACCTGTCAGTGTACGGGTAGCCAAACCAGAAAGACAAGAGGAACTGAATGCCCTAGAGCAGTTTCTCTCAACCGTCCTAATGCGGCGACCCTTTAATACAGTTCCACTTGTTACCATACAATTATTTTCATTGCTATTTCAAAACTTTAGTGATTAGGTGTTTTCCGATGGTCTTAGCAACCCACGTGAAAGGGTCGTTGGACACACAAAAGGGTCGAGACTTGGGAACTGCTGCCCTAGAGAGAGGTCCTGCATGTGGAACAGGGTTGTTCTTATGATAATACACTTTTAGAAACTTTTTCTTTGAAAAATAACTTGTTTAGGCATTAAAATAACTTTATTAGCATAATAAAACATTAATGTAGGGATTAAATGATATACAATTTAGGGTTTTTTCTGCCTCACATGCCTTAAACCACGGTACAACCTGCTAACCACCCTTTCTGGGCTAACACAGAACAATTAATATTGTGTAAATACTCTCCATGTGTGTTTTGTGGCCCTAATTTAGGGGAAACAAGAATAAACCCACTGCCTTCCTCATAAAAGGCAACCGATTAGGCTTTGAAGTTGGTGTGCGAGGGGAGGAACCAATTGTGAACACACAAATAAGCCAGATCTATAAAATGGACATGCACACATCTCTTCCTTTCACACGTCTTACTCCTTAGCTAATTTTCTCTCTTTCTTTCTCTCTCTCTCTCTCTCACATATTCTCTTTTACTCTCTATCTTTCTTTCACTTTCTGTCTCACTGTACCCTATGTCTTATTCTCCTCTATCTCTCTCTTCCATATTCTCCCCTCTATGTCTGTTTCTTTCTGTTTCACTTTCCTCTGTCTCTCTGTCCTCCCCCTCCTTCTCCCTCCAGCCTTCTGTGAAAGATATAATGGGAAGTAAACTGTGTCTTTCTGCAAATAGATCTGTAGTTTGTGCCAAGGCACTGTGGAAGGCCTGCCGGCACCTGTCTCATCAAGCTGCCAGGCAAACTGGGAAGGAAGCAACATGCAGGCTGTCATCAGTCGCAACTGTCTCATGAGTAAACCAGAATCTGAGGACAGTCTGCTAGCAATCACAGCTAATCATTCCAATAACACAGTAAGTGTTTGTTAAATAAAGTTAATGACATTTGGGTTGAGTCTCCTCTTCTTCTTCTTAGATCCTTCTGTCAGAAAACCTATATCAGGAGGCAGGTTAAAGGTTGAAGCAGAGAGGATCGACTTCATTGCGCCGGGTTTTATCCCGAAAGGCTCGGCCTCTCTCTGCAGAACGGCTAATCGCCTGCTGAGAGCACAGCACAGAGTGTGAACTCCATAGCTCTGGTGATGATCCCCCAAGGACCTCCATAAAAATTGCACTCGTGAACTGAAGGGGTGCAGCTGTGGAGCGAACCCACGGCCTTAAGAGCGTGTGGCAAACAGCTTAACCACTTCACCACTGGGACCCCCAGAAGGCAGGTAGCCATATGTAAGCTATATTGCAGTCCATATCTCCTCGTGTACCATACATCTTTGTCTTCATTGTGGTCGGAAGACGCCAGATTGCGTCCCTGTTATCAGCATACAGTTGGCAGTGTCGGAGTACATGCTCAGCATTTTTGGGTGCCATGCTGCAGGGACATGTCTCTGTGTTTCCTACACCAAACATTTTGAACATATGTTGACAAAGTCTGTTGTGCTCTGTCCTTAGTCTGAGTAAAATACATTGTCCCTTTCTACAGAGGCGATGAAGCAAGTCATAAGAAGGACATTTTCTATGGGTATCCAACCACCTTTCTTGGATATTAGATTGTATTAATGTCTTTGTCTGTTGGTGGATTGAGTCACTATTTGGTTGTACCATGTCACTGATGATTCTGGCTAATCTGTCTGCTATTTCATTTCCTTCCAAGCTGCAGTGACCTGGAATCCACTGCAGTACAGACTGTTCTATTGAAGCGCCTAAGTTAATCAGATGTTGCATTAAGTCTACAAACTGCATGTTGTTTGGCTAACATTTGCTTGTAGAACTGACTTGGCATCAGTCAGGTTGAGTCAAGAACTGACATGGCATCAGTCAGGTTCAGTCAAGAACTGACTTGGCATCAGTCATATTGAGTCAAGAACTGACATCACAGCACTTGGAACATTCCTATGTGATTCTCATCTTCTGTAACCATTGACAAGTTCTGATTCCAATGGTACCAGTAGCAGCTTGTTTTTATGCCCATCTTGGCTTTCCTCTAAGTCTGGAGTATCAGATCATCTGGTCTCTCTATTCTTTCCATGCTGTAATGATCTGTTCATGCTTCTGCTTTGTTCATTTGCTTCTAAAGGGCCTTGACCACACATACAATTGTAAAGTTAAGAACCATTTTTATAGCATTAGATCAGATTCCCTGGTCACTCCCCACCATTCTCTCCATGCTATAATGATCTGTTCATGCTTCTGCTTTGTTCTTTTGCTCCTAAAGGGCCTTGACCACACATACATTTATAAAGAACCCTTTTCATAGCAGTGGTACATTGAGCATGTGATGTTGAACCTATATTTTCATAGACCATTCAGCATTCACTGCGCAGTTTGGTCTTCATCGTGCCATCTTTATTTCCCAGGATATTTTCTTGAACACAGATTAAGGTTGGATTGAAACGGGAGCCAAAGTCAGTTTTTTAAAACAAATCGCTTTGATTCAGATTCTTCTTCTGTGTTTATCCGACGACGTGAGTGCAGCTTGCTATTTTACAGCATGGCTGCAATATTTTCGCCTTTTGACCGACACAACCAACGTCACCAGACATTTGTTTCCCAGGTTAGCTTAGCTTCCCATTTATGTTTCAGATTCAAATCCAAGACCTTTATACTGGCAAGCATGTATCTAGCCACTACACATTCATGACTCCTCTTAAACATTCTGTAATGACAATATCATTATCATCATCATCATTATAACCATCATAATGAGCAGAACCATTGGAGGATGTTCTTATCACAGCGTGACTCAATCTCTTGACTGTGCACTTTTGTGCTTAGGATATTTAGCTTTCTACTATTCTAACTCTGAAATACTTTGGCCGTATTTAATTCTGAAGTGGTCTATAGAGAACAATAAGAGCAAGCATGATTCTTTCAAGATCTAAGGTTCCATCTCACATGGACTCAAAGCTGGACACAAGAAATAGGAGACACTGTCAGAAAAATACTAGCATCGTGGATTAGAAAGACTAAAATGCTTTCTAGAAGGCGTGATGGGAGCAGTGTTCTGCAGATGAGGGTTAAGAGATGATTTTTGGTTTATGATGAATAGCCATATTCACTGCATGTGCATACTCTCATAATATCCAGTTGCATATAGATACTGTCATGTGTAACCACTTGCATATACGTACTGTCTTATATACCCACTCATATATATATATATATATATATATATATATATATATATATATATATATATATATATATATATATATATATATATATATATATATATATATATATATATATATATATATATATATATATATATATATATATATATATATACATACATACAGATTTAGGACTCCTGTTGACCTGAAGATCTTAGGATTGAATCCGAACTGGGTGATTTGTTTGTTACTTTGGCTTCCATAGTGACCCAGCCTAAAATAAGTACCAGGAAACATACTGGGAAGTAAAAGCAACTAGCATGATTCATTCATTATCCTGGTATGCCATCAAAATTTTGCATAGGTCTTGCAGTCTATTCCTCCATTCTATCCTGTGCAATCAGTTCAATATCGTGGATGGAATCAAGTCCAGCAGCTTTGGCCTTTCTCATCAACTTTCGTCTTAAGGTTTCTTTTGAGTGTCCTCCCCTCCTTAATCCCTTTATTTCCCATTTTAATGCCTGTTTGGTGATTCTCTGCTGGTTCCTTCTTAGGATGTGTCCATTGTAGCGCTATCTTCTCTGTCTTATAACTAGTGTTACTAGTAGTTAACCAGACATTTCTCTTATTTCTTCACTCCTTTTAAATTTCATGTTCATCATTTTTCTCAAATATTTGTTTTTTAAATGCATTTAACTGTCATTCCATGGCATTAATGGTTCTCTGACTTTGACATGCATATATTAAAATTGAAATAACATTAGAATTGAAACACCAGCTCTCAATACCATTGTTGAAATCACCGCCAAGAGGTCTGCTGCCAAATGGCCTTCAGCCGGAACAAAAAGTGTATCTCAGAATTCCAAACCACGTTTGCAACTTTTTACATAACAGATTAATAATAAACATTGCCTCTTTTCTTTATCCTTTGATCATCTTCTCTTGCAGGTTAATGTGTGGGACGTTAACAGAAAGCAGGAGTTCCAAACATTAGCTTGCTTTGACAAAGCAATAGACATCAGACCACTCAGTGATGATCTTCTGGGAGTGTTGACAGATAAGGAGCTGGTGCTGTACCGTTGGAGGTCTTGATAGGTTTTTTCTGAATGTAAATGAAATGACTCGGGCCAAAGATGAACTGGATTCCATCACTAAAGCAGAAAATAATTCGCAGGAAAGAACAAAGGGGAGGAATAATAAATTGCGAGCCTCATGTGACCTATAATTAATATAGCAGGACGATGCATGGTCACCTACAGTTGTTATATTAAGACCTTTGACAAGGCCGTAGACATCAGACCACTTCGTCATGATCTCCTTGGAGTGTTGACAGACAAAGAGCTGCTGCTATACAGTTAGGAGTCTTTAGTTATTTTTCTAAGAGAAACAGATCATGTCCTCCAAGATTGTCCCAAATATCAAGGCAAAAGTTTTGGCCAAGGGAAACACTGGTGCAAGCCAAACTTTACAGGTCACTGAGTGAATTACAACAGACAGTGAAGTTCATACTAAAGACATTATTGCAGATATAGATAATCTATTTCAAGCTTACGAAAGAAGAAGATGAAATTTTAATGAATGTATATTAAATCACTTTTGAATCTTAGAAAATTGATGAACAAGCCAAACAATTTCTTGAGGCTTGAGAAATGAGGTTTGACAGAATAATGCTTATAGTTACTTGGATAGCCAACAGGAGTAACCTAGACATTTTGAAAGAGAGCCCAAAGACATTTTACACAAAGATCAGATGGAAGCAGTTTAATTATGTTAGCCGTATTGTGAGAAAAAGGAAACTGCAACATGTTGTGACCTCTGGAAAGATTTGTGAAAAGAGAGTTAGAGGAAGACAGTATGAAAAGATTATTGACATCCTTTTGTCATGACATTGAGGGAATGTCAGCAAATGAAATGATGTATGTTGTTGGCGATCAATTTGTGGAGAGGCTCGTTCGCCCATGCAAATTAACAAGGTACTTCTTGATGATGAGGATTAAATCCCTCTAGAAGGCGCCTACACTTGTTGTATTAAGGCCTGCTTTAACAATGCAGTAGTCATCAGACCATTATGTTATGGTCTTCTTGGAGTTTTGATAAAGATTGTGGACAGTTAGTCATCGTAATTGATTTTTCTGAACATATATTAAATCCTTCTACAAGTCACTTACGATTGTTACTTTATGTATTGAAATTATTATTCGCTTCAGTTATTCTTCTTTTCTGTGAATACATTGTTTTCTACAATGACTTTTTGATTGCTTTGATTTACTTTAATAGGAGCTAATGACCCATTCAGACGTGAAATAAGGAAAATTTTAAATATAGTTTTTACAGCAGCTGTGTCCATGCTAGCAGGCACCAGAAACTACAGGACATCCGCTATGACATTACGCTATGCACAGCTCAGAAATGTTTCATCCCTCACCAGATGAGATAACCTTAGATGTGAAATTATGGAAGCTGGCCAGAATTAAAGAAGATAGTTCAGTTTATGCAAAATGCTGGGATTATGGCTAGTTTCTTTTGGCTTACCCTCAACCAAGTGAAAGAGCAATAATAAATATCTCATTAAAATTGTTGCCATTTGCAATAGTGTCATATCTTTTGAAGACAGATCAAATCAAGGTAAATATTTTTATAGAATAAGAAACAGAGTTGTTATAAATCTGTTATCCTGGGGCAGTGGTCAGCAAATCGCGGTTTGCGAGCCGCATGCAACTCTTTAGTGACCTGAGTGTGGCTTTACCA